CTCCTTAAAGCATCACAGAATCTCAGAATTGGAAGGGAGATCAGGTCATCCATGGGAGATCAGTAGTCATCCATGGAACAGGGGAAAGGATCTGCCTCTGGAGTGGGGGACCTAAATTCAAATTCTCCCTCTGATGCTTAGTACCTTTGTGGCCTGGGCAATCCTTTAACTTTCCCAGACCTCAGAGTCATTGGCTGAAAAAGAGGGAGGTCAGACCAGAGGACTCCTGAAGCCCCTTCCAGCTCTCATGCTTTTTACTCGTTTCTCATACCAGATTGAAAATGAAGTTTGAAAAAATAAGCCTCTCTCTTCTTACTACTGCCTGGATGAGTAAGAACCCCCCATTAAATTAATAATAGCAGCCCATTTTTAGTGCTTTTGGGGTTTGCCATGTATTTTCCTTTAAATAACATTTTGAAATAGGTAGTGAAAATAGTATTATCCCTATTTTATGGATGAGGAAACTGAAGCACTTAAGAGGCTTGCCTTGGATCATGCAGCTAATAGGTGCCTGAAACAGGATGAAAATTCCAGTCTCCTGATTGCAAGTCCAGTGTTCTAATCCTGTGCTGCTTCCATTTAGGGGTCCACACTCTAGGTTAGGAAAGATAAGGGTGAGGTCCTGGTTGGTGTGCCTTATGAAACTTCAGGGAGATTCTGTGTAATCTGCAGAAGGTGGGAGTGGTGTGAGAGGAAATTCATACATGTGTGTATGTTCGTGACTGATATTTGTCAGAAATGCCAGATTAGAGTGGAAGCTGATGGCACTGTACTTCAGCCAGACTCCATAGTGGGGTAGCCAATCAGTGGGTTTATATACCAGTGCTCAGACTGGCTTGCTTGCATATGGTGATATCACATGGCCCAGACTGTTTCAGGCCTTGACAGACTGAAGGGTCTATCTCCCCTTGTTTCTCATTGTGGTGAGTGGGGGATGGCAGTGACTAATGGGCATCTTTGTTCTGCATTCATGGGCTGTGCTACTCTGGAGCCCACAAAGTGGACATTAGTAAGTAAGTGAAGATAAGGCTGTGGTCAGGTTCAGCTGAGCTGCTTGTCTGAATTGTGATGGCCGAGCCAACCCTCACCTCCCTCCCTGTCTGGGAAAAGAGGCATCAACATCTTGACAACCGGGATCTGACTAATATGACTAACTTCAAACCAGGGGAAATTATGAACTAGAGGCTGCTAATTTATTAAGAGGACTGACGAGTGGTTGCCTACTTGTAACTTCACCAGCATGTCTCATTCTGCAAAGCTTAATAGGAGATCTGGAATTCTGCAGTGTTTTAGTTGAGTGCCTCGTCTTGGGCTCTGTCCATCAGCTTTGGAACGAGTCAAAGTAGATCAGCTTTGATCACCGATTTTCAAAGTTCTTGATTTAGCTGGCATCGATATTTGCCATATCTGTGGGAGGACAGATGAGCTCCCTGTGTATGCATTTTCACAATGGATTCGTAGCTCATTTGAGCGGCTGCTTCTGTCTACTTAAGCTGACAACTTTTGCATGGAAGTTTCATTTTCCCTGTGCAGTAGTTGGGAGCGATCCAGGCAAAATTGGCTGTGGGCTCTGCTGGCTCAGAAAGGAAATTGAATATTGAATGGGAAGGAAGATGGAAGGTTTTGTTTTTGTTTTTGTTTTCTGTTTTTTACCCCTCCTACTCAGCCATGAGGAAATGAGGAAATACTCCCCTCACTCTCCACACTGGTATATACACACACTCACCCATAAATCAGAAAATCTTGAATTGGAAAGGCCTTCTGAAGCCCTCTAGTCTGGTCTAATCTTTTTTTTTTTTTTTTGTAACCAACTTCATCTAGAAATGGCCATCTGGCCTCTTTATTAGAGATCTTCTAGATATTAAAAATGCCCTAAATTAAATGAGAAAAGCCAAGTAGCTGTTGACCAATGTTTAAAAATACAAAAAACTTAGAGAATGATTTTTAAAAACCAGCTAATGAGATTTTCAGAGACTTGGGGAAAGACAACTATTTTTTAAAAATAAAAGAATTTAGAACTCAAAACTTTACATGTTCAAACAATTTTTAACATTTTTTTAATTGGGGAAAAGTAAACTATTATATATTAAAAAAAGAAAAAGATGCTAGTGTTTCCTTTCCAGAAAAGCAGTATAGTGTAATGAAGAGAGAGCTGTCTTTGGAGTCACGAAGTCCTGTATTCAGGTCTTGCTTCTGACACGCTGGCTGTGGGACCCTAAGCTAGTTGCTTCATAGGTGATAAATGGCATTGGAGAGATAATGTCCTCACCAGAAGCTCCCTGGACCAATGAAATCACGGCTGTGAGTCACCCCCTCCACCTCCCCAGCCTGACTTAGAAAACCCAACATTAGAATGAATAGATGAAGGCTTGACGAAGCCCCTTTATGGGTTGCTTAGGTACCTATGTGAAAGCATTTTGGAGAGTTTTGTAAGTACTGGGTAAAGGGACCCTTGTTTTTCTTTTACTCCTTTCTTCTGTTTAGTTAAACAAACAAAAAAACCCCTCTTCTTATTTACTGTTCCAAGCTCTGGATCTGGTCCATCTCTCAGTGGTATTTATTAGAAAAAATTCTTTGCAAAGTAGTTTCTTCCTACTCCCCACTAAGATAACTTTCATTTTAATGTGATATTCAAGTTTGTAAAGCACTAGTTTTATAACTTTCTGTTGTGGGGTGTGTAAATATTGCTGGTTGCTTAATTCTTATTAATGAATAACCCAGGATTCCATTGGTTCTGTGATCTCCTCAGTGAGATATTAAGATTTATCCATTCCTTCTCATAGAGACTCATATTGAGATGGCCCCATTCTACACCACAACAGGTCCACCCAATAGACAGGAAGTGTCTACATGTATCTCAGTTTCTTCAATTGTAAATGGTCTATCAATACGCATTTATTAAGTGCTTACTCTTGCCAATGGATGTGCTAAGGATGCAAATATAAACAAAAAAGATGGTACCTGCCTATGAGATTACATTCTAATGGGGGGAGACAATGTACACAAAAGGGCTGAAAAGTGTGTGGGGAGGGCAAGGTACCTGAGTGAGGACATGGTGGCAAAGCCCAAGGAGTGAGAATCAGAGCCTGGAGAGAGGCAAAGGACATCTGGCCTGGGCCCTTCTTCAAAATGGCTATTCTGGTTAGAAATCACCAGTGAGGGAAGGAAGCATAAGACGTGGAGGGGCCTTCCCCTGGGAGAAGGTAGTTGGGACATGGCAGTAGTCTGGAGAGTCAGAATTGGAGCAGGAAAGGAACATGGCGGCATTAGACCAGCTGGCCTCCAAGCTCCCTTCTGGCTCTAACTATCTGATCCCATAACTCTTCTGTCCTTTTGGCATCGAATGGGTACCAATGGAATATATGAGCTAGCTTTTGCTTTTGCTGCAGAGGAGGTCTATCCCTTTTTCTATTCATACACTTTCCCAATGGAATCCTTTATACCTGTTTTGCATAATTCTTTTGTGTTTGTGCCGAAGCCTATTCACTCCCATCATGCATTTCTCCATTGACCTTTGGGTGATCCTCAACTTTAATTTTACAGAGATTATAGTGTTCTCAGACTCAAATCTTTTATAAATTTAATTAGTAAATTGAATTTCTTAATAAATTCTTATTAAGTCAAACTACCTCAATTACCTTGTCTACTATGGAAACCCTCAGAGCAGTGCACTGTGGTTTATGCACACACAAATATACTCTCTCTTTTATGACTGTCCCTCATACAAGACTTTGAGGGAACCCACAGTCTACAAAAGAGAAAATGTATTGGCCTGAGATTCAGAAATTGCAGGCAACAGTTTCCGCTCTCCTGGGCCGGCTATTCAAGTAGATTATAACAAATGTGCCTTTCTCCCCCTCAACAGTGGATTTCCCTGAAAATAGGCCAGTACCTTGACCAACCTCAACTCTGGTGAATCTCAGCATAGTCCCATTAATCACTTCCATCCAACAATCAGCTGGATTATCTTGTTTCTGCGCTACGTTCTGATGCTAAGTCAGCCATCCTGAGCAGCAGGAATGTTTTCAGGTCAGGAAGGTAGTTTTTTAGTAAGCTAGTGTTTCAGGGTATTTAATTAATGGCATCCTCTTGGCGGCCTTCTTGTGGGAAAGGTTGTGAGCGTAGGCTGGGTGATGACTGACTGGCTGGCTGTTGTTGAAGAACCAGCCAGCCTATGAATGCAGAGGTTTTTTTTTTCCCAGTTGGGTGCATGCTGGTGGATTTTTTGGCCAGAGAAACCCCCAAAGACCATCTGATAAGGTGTAAACAAACTGTGGGCTGGGACAGTAGAAGGCAATCCCAGTGATAAAGTCACTGATCATTAGAGTGCGCTGAACAGCCTTCTGTCATTTTGAAGGATGTATTTGTAGCTTAGGTCCAGAAAAAATCTAAGGTTTAGAAATAGATGATTTAACAAATAGGGTTCTAGGCTGGGAGTCAGGAAGACCTCGGCTTCTATCTTTCCTCAGGTTGTTTCTGGCTGTGTGAACTCAACCTTTCTGAGGTTTATCTATAATAATATTAATGATGATTGTAATTATAATAATAATAACAACACTTGCACGGTTGTTGTGTAGATTCAAAGAGACAATGCATGCAAAATACTTTGTGAAACCCTAAAATGCTATGTAAATGTCAGGCATTATTAACAAGGATGATAGAGTGTGGAGTCTGGAGTCAAGAAGTCTCATCTGCCTCAGTTCAAGTCTGGCCTCATACACATATCAGCTGTGTGACCTTGGGCAAGTCACTTCCCCCTGTTTGCCTCAGTTTCCTTATCTGTCAAATGAGCCATAGAAGGAAATGACAAACCATTCCAGTATCTTTGCCAAGAAGACCCCCAATGGGGACATGAAGAGTTGGACACGACTGAAATGACTGAACAATAAAAAATAAGCTTTCAAAGTTGGTTTGGGGAATGCCATGGAGTAGCAAAAGAAATGTCGACTTCCTCATTGAAAAAAACCAACAACTTTGTCGTCTTCTGCTTTTCTTCTCAGGCCAGCTGGGATTTGATGCTGGACAGAATCTCAGAATCATGAGTTACTGGAGCCTTGAGAAGAGGAACTGCGTGCAATATCGGCGGCATTTCTTAGTGGATAACAGTGTGTTTCATGGTAAGTGGCCAATACTCTACTGGTGGTTTTGAGTTTTTAAAAAATCTTGCAGAATAGAACCTTGAGAGTTGGAAGGTGCCACAGAGGTAGTAATAATAATGATAATAATAATAATAGCAGCTGTCATTTGCATAGAGCACGTTAGGGTTGGCAGAGTACTTTGCACATTCTCGTCTGATCCTCACAACATCCCTGTGAGGGTGGTGCTATTATTATCCTCATTTTATAGATGAAGAAAGTGAGGCTTAGATCTTAGATGACTTGCTCAGGGTCACACAGCTATGAAGTGTCTAAGGGAGGATTTGAACTCGGGCCTTCTGACCCCAAGAGTGGCACTCTTTAGCTGCCTGGAGGTTGTCTAGCGGAACCTATGTCTGAGCAGGAATTGCCTTGAGAATGTTTTGTTTGTACATAAATGGTTGTCCAGCCTTTGCCTGTAGAACTCCAGGAAGGGGCAACATGTGTTTGTGCAGACAGCCAGTTGTAGTTTTCAACAGTTCTTGAGAATGTTCCCTTTTTATCAAGCCCATATCTTCCTTTCTGTGATCTCCATCCCTTGCTTTTAGCTTGGCTGAGCAGACAGAAAGAAGCCTCAGCTTCTGACAATTGTTCAAGTGCTTGAGGACAGTTTTCATATCAGCTTCAGCCCTTCTCTGGGCTAAGTGTTCCTTGTCCTTCAATTCATAACCCCTTGATTGTATCTTACACTTTGGATACAAGCCGAATTGTGTACCTGAGATTTGACCAGGAGTTCTAGTTAACTTCCTGGAGAACCATCAGCTTGACGTGTTCCTGGTTTTATTTCTGATCTCAGCAGGCTGCTTGTAGACAGAGAAAAGAGCAAAGCGGCTCTGTAGAGTCCCATTCCATCTGTCTTCCTCATTTGCTCAAGCCACTGCAGTCATAAATCAGGCAGGGATCGACATGTTAGCGAGATGGTGGACCATGCTCACCACCCTTACCTGGTGGGAGTCTGGGGCTGTGCTACATATAGACATGTTGCAAATCACTGGACCCAGCTCTGGGCTCATGAGTCCTATGCCTTTTTTACTCAGGGATTTATGTGGTGCCTTTATCTATTATATCTTTTGGAGGAAGAAGCCTGGGGGTTAAAGAATTGGGTTTGAGATGACTGGAGTGATGACAGAGAGTCAAACTGCTTCAGAATTTTCTGCTTTGGTTTGCTGTCTTCTTTTTGCTAACAGGCACTGCCGAAGATTCAGAACAATGTGCAGGCATTTTTTCCTTCTGGGGTACCTAGGAGTACCTAGGAGGGCATGGTGAGGGATATTTCTAACTGGGACCAGGACATCTGCAAATGAGGGCCATATCCCATCAAAGTGGCTTCTTGCTTTTCATCATCATGATCACCTTGTCTCTTTCCCTATTTCTCCCATCCCTAGGCCATTATATAGTCCATCAAAGGTGGTAGAAATGATGGAAGATGATCCTACCTGGGGTGCTCACCCCCCTTTTCTCGCCCCTTCACCTGGGCTGCTCGAACGCTCCCAGGGTACAGATGTGATGAGATTCAACAACTTCACCCTTTCTCATGAGGTGGAAGACTGTCAGGCTTTCCTATCTGCCCTGCGCTTGACTCCTATGGTCCCTTAGGACTCACTACTTGCCCTGCTTCTGTGTCCTCTAGTCCTCTGGCACTGTCATATGACCTGAGGACATTTGGGCCTTGCCATCAGCCCTGCTGTGATTCCCCGGAGATTTCTGGACCTTTTGATCTGATCTGTAGCCGAACTTTCTTTTATGTGTTATCTCCGTTGCTTAGAGCATTAGCACCTTGAGATGAGGGACTCTCTTGTGTATCCTCAGAGTTTAGCACAGTGTTTGGCATATGGTAAACCCTGAACAGATGCTTTTTCATCCATCCATCCATCCATCCATCCATCCATCCATCCATCCATCCATCCATTCATCCATTCTCATCTCAGTGCCTTTGCATACATGTTCCCACCATTATAATACACTCCCATTCTCACCTCTACCTCTTGGAAGCTCTCCCTTCCTTCATGACACAGCTCAGGGGTCACCATCTATACCATGCTTTTCATGGTCTTCCTAGATCAAGTATCTTTTAACATGGGGTCTCTGAAATTATTACAAAAATTTTTTTGATAACTGTATTTTAATAAAATCGGTTTACTTTATAATCCTATGTATTTTATTTTGTGCATTTAAAAGCATGATTCTGAGAAGAGATCTGTGGGGTTTACCAGGCTCCATGAAAGGGCTCCATGAAATTTCATGGCATCAGGAATGAAATCCAGAGGTCTGTAGCTTATTTCCATCATCTTTATGGGAGTGGAAATGAAGTCAAGTATCGAGATGTTGTTTTGGAGTAGAAATGAGTCTATGAAAAAAATGTCCCAAAGTTGACTATTTTGTTACATGTTGGTTTGACTTTTCATGAGCAGTGTCATGGACACAAGGGGGCAGCATAGCATTTAAAATATGGATGGATAATTTAGATTTTTAAACCTAGTAGCATTCATCTTGGAAACGGATTTAGAAATATTAAATCCTCTCAAGATTATGGGAGCTGAAGTCAATTAGATTTAGGGTTCAGTTGTATTTAAAAACAATAATAGGTTTACAAATTCTTAGTGGTGTAAGATGCCATGCTTATCAGAATCTTATGGAACTCTGTAATGCCTTGGGGTGTGTGTGTGAATCTGGATTGTTTCTTCTGAAATTTACCTGCATTCTCCTAAAAGAAAATATCCATTTAGACAGGGTCTCTAGTTACTCCACTGCATAACCTTTTGGCACTTTTTTGGAGGGAGGGGGATGATTATTATTGCCCTTCATTTTAAAAATCAATCATTTTTCTTTTTCCTTACAATTTTTTAAAAAGCTTTTGTATGAACCTTTTCTAAATCCTCGGTATCTTGTTTCAGTTGTGGTAGCCTTTGGTACAGGTTTTTTTTTTTAATAAATCAAATTAAAATAATCACTAGCTCTTGAACAGAATCTTTCTAGAATTAGCATAAGGACTTGACCTATGATTTGAATGATATTGAGTCTACTAATGCAGGTCAGTCCCTTCTCTGAAATTTATAATCTTAGAGAATTGCCCAGGACACTGAGAGGTCAAGGAACTTATTCAGGGTCACCTGGCCAGTAAGGGTGAGAGGTAGGATTTGAACCCAAGGCTTCTTGGCTCCAAGGTCAGCTCTATCCACTATGCTATGTTGTCTCACACCACAGACATTTCCTCTTAAATCTTGCTTTCCAGCACCGAGCACTGAACCCTTCCTTTTAACAAAGAAATATATTTAGGTAAAGCCCAGCTGTATCGGGCAACTAGTTGGCACATTGGATAGAGCATTGGGCCTGGAGTCAGGAAGACTTGAGTTCAAATATAGCCTCTGGCACTTATTATTTGTGATGTATAAAATGTTTCAGGGTAATTAATCATTTTATTAATTATGGCTAGCAGATAATTAATAAAGGGGGTCGATGGCATTCTTGAAAGTCAAAGACACTTCATGGAACCCATTCAATGTTTATATGCCCTTGGAAGAGTGGGTGTTTCTGAGGATGGAAATCAACTCCGATTGGTTAACAGGCAATGAAAGAATGAATGTTATAATGAAAAGTGGGCCTATTCTAAGGAGGGCCTGGGGAATGACTTTGATCACTCTTGATTTCAGACCAGCCTTGGTCAAGCTAGACAAAGGATCTCCCTCTCCCCTGAGCCTGCCTGAATGGAACACAATGGGCCGGAATTTGATTAAATTCTTTGTAAGGGTCAGGATCATAAAGCATGTGCCTTAGGGACTGGGCAATCTCATCTATCAACAATGTCCTTCAGAGGCTGACCAACCTACAGGTTCTGGAAAAAAAAATCAATTCAATTAATTGATTATTAATATGAGAGAAATAATCATTTCTCTCATGGCTGTAGGATCTCAAGCAAATCACTTAACCTTTGTGATTATGGTTGTTTTATTAGTTGGTCATGTTTGACTCTTTGTGACCCCATTTGGAGTTTTCTTGGCAAAGATATGGAATGGTTTGCCATATCCTTCTCCAGCTCATTATATACATGAGAAAACAGAGGCAAACAGGGTTAAGTGACTTGCCCAGGGTCACACAGCTAGGAAGTGTCTGAGGCCATATTTGAACTCATGTCCTCCTTACTCCAGGCCTGGCATTCTATCTGCTGTGCCACCTAGTTGCCCCATCACTTAACCTTAGTCTTACCAGGGTACGTGCCTGGTAGAGGGATCAATGATATAAAAGATAGGAATGGCTCAGTGATTTTTCTCACATGATGAATGGTGTGTTCTTGAATATAATGAGTACTGGTTATAATACCTTTTCATCTAGGGGAGGTGTAGTGTGGTGAGAGATGAAAGGTAATGTTAGAAATGCGAGCTCCCCTCTCTGAGCTGATTGAGGAAGGAGATGCTTTATTTGATAGAGAACTCTTGGAATCTCTTGATGAATGCCCCTCTGCCCATTAGTATAATTAATTTTGCTAATAGTTGTACCCTGTTGTACAGGGATTTTGCCAGTGACATATTTTTGTATAAATTTGGGTGTGAATACAGTCTATGGAGGGCAATGGGATTTACTTTAACAGACCATTTACTTTAACAGATCAAATGGAAAATGGAGATAATACTAGTACTTACCTCCTTGTGAGGGTCAAGTGAGGTAGTATTTGCAAAGTGTTCAACACAGTGCCAGGCACGTTGTAGGTCGTCGTCATCATCATCATCATCATCATCGTCATCATCATCATCATCATCATCATCTTTATCATCATCACATTTCCCTCTTGTCTGATAGCGTAGAACACCTTCCCCCCTCTCTGGAAGTAGGGAGGTATATTTCCTTATCATTCTCTGGTTCATCACCCTTCCATGGGTTTGACTGCTTTTCAGTGTGGCTGCATATGTGACTGTGCGTTGTGGTCTTGGTTCCCCTTTCTTCCACAGGCCCTCCTTTTAGTTCCAATCTTTTGCTATCAGAGTAAG